AACATACTAAACGTTCAATGGAGCATGTGATTTAACTGACTCTGTATCTAATCGAGTATTAGGCAGCCAAGCTTACTTTGTGTCACTGAGCCATTTAAAAGTCACTTGAAGCGAGCCATTTTTGTCTGCTTGACAGAGCAGATCAGCAGAAATTCTTAACTCTACCTTTTGTTCGTTGGAAATAATGGTTCTAGCAAAGATTGAAATAAATARAGACTTGGTGTACGAAGTAATTCAGTTATATGAATTAATATTATTTTATCATATCAWGAAGTTTGAAGAAGGCATAAATTCGGACATTAAAGTCACTTATAAATATTAATCACCGTACCTCTTGAATATCTAAGGTTGAGCTCATGCTTCTGATATGCGTCTCAAACAACTAGGCAAAGAATAACAGCAAGAARAAGGGATGATAATGGCGATCGACTAAAATTTTACTGTATACTGTGATGGTCTTAAAATATCCTCCATCGACGAGACAGGCGGATWCAGTTCTAATTGAACAAGTTACTACGTCAAAGYACRTTTGTTAACCAAAGTGAGGAAGSGCCGTAAGTAAAGAATGGTCATTCTACTACCGACACATTTARGCGTCGTTAAGATCAAAATTGCYAATATATTTTWTAAAATATTTTASTGCATGTTCTATGTATTTGTTTCTGACACACTTTTTCGAGCTGAGCGTCATTATTATTAACCACAACGATTAACCCAATGATAAATGTTACACTATAAAGTTAGAAGTACTATTAAAAACTGTAGAGTTTGTTCATTAGCGTCACGACTACTCTTCTTTGTGACGTTTTATCCGGAMTTATTCATTCATCTTTTGTCTCTCTCTTTCTTTAGTTTAATATATCTAATTTAATTCCAAAAACATTGAACAAATTCAGTTAAGCCCTTAATTAATGTAATTTAACTTGACGCCTTTTGAAACGATAGCCAAGGGTTATCAATAACATTAWACTTTTAATCTATAATAACATAGAAATAATATACAAACGATTGTTTAACTAAAATGCAAATTTGGGACAATTTATAAATGTAATTTGATCTTTGATAAGTTCGCCACGTTATTTGTTGTACCGTTAATCGTGTGTCATGACCCGTGAGAAACACCAACCATTTTTGTACCTCCCTTGTCCAAATGTATAGTTTCAAATTACGTATCTTTTTTACTAGTAAAGAGAATAATGGACTGGCCAAGACTACTGCTTCTGGCATTTGCATTTTGTTTTACAGCAGGTAAGATCGACCGTATTTTCAGTTATAATTTGTCCATGAATTTCAAGAGTCCTTAAAGACGACAGGTTGTCATAATGACAAAGTTTGAAACGTTTTAGTTGAGTTACTAATTCCACTAATGATTTTATGAAATAAAATACATGAGTTTATTCAACATTTATTRTTATTTTAAGATACAAATACCATCAAAGTTTGATTCCAATGTGTATCACAATTTCAGAGATACGTCCACACACATGGATGGTCAGCGGTATAAATACCAACAGCACCTCGATGGGTAACTATGGSGTTATGGGTACTACCGATGAAGARGACAGTGAAAAGTGGGGTCAGGAGCAAGATAAACTGTATAAAGATATGGAATCAAAGGAGAATCAAATGAAGAATACGGAGGAAAGCGGATCCGGAAGTGGCGATGAGAACGATATTAAATCAGGAAATAAAAGACAAATGGGTAATAGTAATACACCCAGTGGAAACGATACTGCTGAGAATATTGTGAAAGAAGCGGTTAATCAAGCAATTCAAGAAAGTAAGACGAGTCCACCACCGATGCCCGCAACMTTAGGAAAAACTACTTTTCCAACACAACCAGTCACCCACTTACCACCGCATCTTGTTTTACCTCAAATTCAACAAACTACAGAGATAAATACCATCGTTTTACCGGGTGGTGACAATGGTACCGCGAATGTCGCTTCTACCAAGGTTAATGTAACAGGAGCAATGGGGCAAAATCTTTTAGTAGAGACAACTCAAACCGGTGCCAAAGAAGATCAAAATAAACAAAACAATTTTAACATGTCAAAACCGTCACCTGGTAATCCTTCGACGTTAAATGTACCGGGTAAAGGATCGAACATTGATGTCGTGGGCACAACTGATACTCCTCCAAACAATAATGCACCACAAAATACCAGCTCACCAGCCCAGCAAGAAGTACAACCAGCAGGTCCTACGATGAATCCACAGCCAACTGTGCCAACGCAGCCAGTCACTAGTCCTAGTCAAGGAGGACAACAACAAACTCAAACACAGGCACCACCGACTGCTGCAGTAACTCCATCTACACCGATGCCTTCCCAAAGCCAGCAACAAGCTATGCCAACTCAACCAGCTACACAGGCAGCTCAACCACAATCTGAGCAGCAAGTACAAGCAAATTATTTCGGAAATTTATCGACGGAAATGCCTACACAAAACGAGCTACCAACATTATCTACTCAAACAGCTACAAACAGCCAGATAACATCAGCTCTGTTCCCAACATCTTCAGCTCCAGTTCAAATTTCTCAAGACAACCAGGCACAGACATCGCAGGTTGATAATACGCAAGCACAGCCAGCGCAAGTTGATAATACGCAAGCACAGCCAGCACAGGTTGATAATACGCAAGCACAGCCAGCGCAAGTCGATAATACGCAAGCACAGCCAGCACAGGTTGACAATACGCAAGCACAGCCAGCGCAAGTCGATAATACGCAAGCACAGCCAGCACAGGTTGATAATACGCAAGCGCAGCCAGCGCAAGTTGATAGTACGCAAGCACAACCAGCGCAAGTTGATAACTCACCTAGCACAGGATATCCTACTCAGACAAACACTACTACTTCAAATGGTCAGATTGACATTAATCAGTATGCTCAAAATATCCAGCAACCAACAGTTTCGACAACTGCAGCTACTAATACGGCAGGAGCAAATGGACAGTATCAACCAACCACGGCAGCAATCACAATCTCGAAAGAAAACATGGTTGTCGTTTCAGAGCAGCCATCAAATGCCAATATGAACACTAATCCAGCGCCTTCAAACCCTGTCCATCAAAATACTCCCACACAAATGGTGTCTCCCTCAGATGCTAAAAAACCCACTGGCGCTGGTTCTCGGAATAACAAACCTAACAATTTCGACATTAGCTTTCATACTCATGTACATAATCCATCAAAATCAAAAAATACAGTGCAAATACGACCTTTGCATATTGGTCGCACAGTTACTCAGAGCAAAAATGGTGGATTGATTATCACCAGTAGCAGTATATATGAAGTTGGCCATGGGTTTCCATTGACTACTATTGATCAAAAGGCCCTTGGCCTTACTGAAAAACCTATCAGTAATACAATGGCGAAAMCTCCTGTAAGTGCCCCCGCGAGTACTCCAGTCAGCACTCCCGCCAATGCATCCGATTCTAAAACAGTACCTACAACTCAACCGACTACAACAACTTCGACAAGGTCAACGAACGAACCAAAACTTTCTGACACTACCACAATTCCACCTCCAACAAAACCAACATCATCAAGCTGGATGCCAACTTATTCACTATTGAAAAGTGTGCATAGGAATGTAAACAGCAATAACGGTGAAAATGAGCCTGAAATGAACATTTCCGAAATGCTATTTCCTAAACTCCCAGCGAGCCTTCCTATTATGATCATGGAAGACCACGTGACGCCAGTTCCATTACAGCAACCGTTTTTGGCATCAAATGTTGAGGCTCCGAAACCAGTGCCATTAATGGACAAAGGAAATTACCAACAGCCGACACAGGCCCCACCTCAAGCAGCAGCCAACCCAACTGCCTCGACGTCGATGTTTTCACAGGGTTCATATCCCACAACAATGGTCGACAACCCATCATCAGGCATAAATTTAGGTGCAAGACTAGACAATCAAGATAACGCATATGAAAAAGGTACTTCCCAAATTGAGGAGATGTCAAACTCTCCGATTCCGGAAAGCCTTCATATACCGTTTACCAATGGGCTTGAGATTAGTGACTCCAACGAAGTTTTCTTTGATAAGAAAGATGGTCAGTCTATGAATAAGGCAAGAAAAACAAATAATCAGCCAGCAGCAAATACGACAGCAAAGCCAGCACAAGAAGAATCATCAAAAGATACAAATAATCTTCCAGCAGCAAATACGACAGCAAAGCCAGCACAAGAAGAATCATCAAAAGAAACAAAAGATGATGTTACAGATGCTGCTTTCAAAGGTATAGAGGATGCTGTTCTTTCTGTTGACATATCAGAACTAAGACCGGGCGAAATTCTCAGCTTACGCCTTCCCAACAGTGAGTCTAGCCAACTATTTAAAGTTCGAGAAATCAAATCAAGCGATAAAGTCTCTCAATATACCAATGATGATAATAGTGACAGTGCAGCATTCAATGTAGACAAGAAACATCTTCTGTACGCAATTATTGAAAAAGTCAAAAACAACAAAGAGTATCGAGACGCAATGGAGACGATTTTCTCTGCTGCTGATAGAAGATCTGGATCGAGTAAACACGATCAAACAATGAAATTTCCAGATAAAGCAATCCTTAAAAATTACAACACGGATGACATAGAAAGAAAAACAGACGAAAATTTCTCAAAATTTCTCCAAGACAATATTAGCTCAAAAGACGCTGACGAAAACGAAGCTTCAAGTGATACAGAAGGCTCAGCTATGCAGGATCAAAATGCTGAAAATGCCATTAAGAAATCTAACGTCATACGGCCGAAAGAAAATTCCCATTTTCATAACAATCACCACTCTAAAGTTGCAAGAAAACAAGATGGACTTAAATCTTTCAAGAAAGAAAAGAAGAAAAATGCAAAATCCGCTGAAAAATCTGGTATAAAACCAAGAAAGGGAAGTCACTTAGCTGACAGTTTTGAGAGACAAGACAAATTTGAGAACGACATTAAAGCAGTTCCCTCGTTGAGAAAGACGGAATCATCTCATCGTGTAAAATTCAGGAAGGAGAATAATGTCATCATTGAAGATGTATCAGGAAAGGTGTTGTATAGAGGCCCCATGGACATCATTGCTTTAAATAAAAACGCCGTCAGACACAATGATAATAGAAGATCATTCAGTCAAGAAATGAGTGAAGACACCAAAGAATCAACCTCCAGAAAAGGAGCTCATTATCGACATAAGCAATTTCCCAGCCGAATCAGAAGATCAACCACTGACGATGGTGACGAAGCAAAGCCAGCAAAGAAAACCGAAGGAACRTTTTATTTGACATTCAAACTTGAAGATAACAAACCAAATGAAAATGCTGGAAGTGCCACAATAAATGGTGTGCCTCACGACAAAGAATCAAGTGCARCAAATGATCAAGCGAAAGAGCTCACTTTCAGTGATAGGTTAACCAAGGATGCAMGAAAAGAAAAAAGCAAAAGCGAGGAAGATAWAAWWGRTACACAAAAGRAAAAAGAAKCAGGAGAYAAAYCAAAGGAARRCAAAACAAAGAATAAAGARAACGAGAGRCATGAGGACAAGAAAAAAGGAACTAAAGAAAGARAAGAACAGCAAAAAGAGAGAAAAAACGATAAAGATACAGAAAGCAAAAATGCAAGAGAAGAGAACAATGAAGGTTCACTTTTATCAGAAAACAAGAAGCAAAATCTTACCCATGTTCAAATTGAGGATGATGAAGGAAACGTTCTTTACAAAGGACCAGTCGACATTGATGCCCTMAATAAAACAATTTCAAATAAGGATGGAAGCTACTCAGGGTTTCATTTAGAAAAGGCCGGATATKTGCTTGATAAGCCAGCCGATCCAAAAGCAATGGAAGTTATCAACAATGGTCTCCAAAACGCAAGTCCTAAAAATCTAACACAAGGCGTCAAAGTGGCTCTAAATAGACCTAGGCGCCATGTTAAAAAGACCTTGATCAAAGATTCAAAGAGAAAAGAACGAAAAATATCTCAGAGAGTCTCAGCTGAAGACAACACGAAAGTAAAGAAAAGCAGTGAAGCAAAAGTCCAAGGAGACAACAAAGAAATTCTTTCAAGGGATTCTTCAGCAACATCCTCAAAACAAGAGCAAAATCATCCAGATGCAAAAGGGCCAGATGCAGCAACATCCTCAAAACAAGAGCAAAAGGATCAAGAAAATATCGATTTACAAGCCAGTGAATCCAATTACCAATTACCTTCACATGTTATAATCGAGGATGAAAGCGGTAACTCCCTGTATCAAGGACCCGTGGACATATTAGCCACAAACAAATCAACACCATCAAATGGTGGAAAAAGCAAACTCCAATCACTGAAGAAAAGCTTTCAAATATTAAAGGATCAAAACCAAAAATTGGCTTCAAAAGGTAGCGACCCTTTGGCTGCAAAGGTGACTACTCAAAGTGATCAGAATGCTGCACAAGGGGAATCAGCTCCAACTGAATTTCAAGTTACACAAGACGGCGGAGCAGCCTCAAAGGGTAAGACAATCACAGTCCAACACTTTCACACTGGCCACGGCGGCCAGAAGGTATCAGTAGATGTTGTAAACAATGGTGAAAATCAAGAAAAAAAGACACCTTCAACTGATGATAAGACTCCGCCTGACAGCGACGAGGACGATCAAGAGAACACAAAATCACCAAGTCTGGCTGGAMTGCCATTTTTTGATAACAAAAACAGTAAAGTTATTCACAGATATGTACAAGGAAAGCAGAAAACTACAAAAACCGATTCTAGTGTAGAACCCAGTACRCAGGCAATACTTGATAAGATCATAAAGCAAGTCCAAAATAGAAMAAAAGAAAATTATGATGTCATGCTAACTAATGTTCAGAAAGGAGCTTCATCGATTGGAGGAAGAATTGTACAAGGAGTCAACAAAGACCAAAGCAACAGCGCAGATGTTGACAAGACAACTCAGTCAGAATACATCAAAAATGTAATGCAGAGCTGGCTAAAAAGTAAGCATGCAGGGGARATGCCCCRYGAAAGCAAAAATGCTCCAAACGACAAGAAGAATAAATCATTAAACGTGCAAGATATGGTTGAAAGTTGGYTTAAAAGCAAAAAACCAGGGATTTTATCCAATAAAGAGAAAGACCAACAAAGAGATTACCAACAACCGGATAAAAGTTTGGGYGGAGAAAAGAACCAAAGTAGCAATCAAGTAATGATACAAAATGAACCAAATGAAATCATGAAAGGTCAAGAAGAYAAAGCTGGGTATGATATCGGGAGTGTAAAGCAAAGTGCAACAAATGAAAAGSCATCYCAACAAAACGCTGCTGACGAAGTAAATGCATCGGTAACTGGTGACGATAATATTGAATTACAAACAAACATRGCCAACGGAAAGGTAGTTTTAACAACAGGAAAACAACCCAAAGCATCACCTATTGATTACGTGAATAATGACCAAACTGGTTCACAAAACGCAGAGCCACCTCCTATAGCGATGACGACAAATAACATGAACTCCAATCAAATTACATTGTCAAACGCACAAAATGGCAACCAATTGTCCGCGGTGCTGTCTAGTGAAACGCCACCGACTTCACAAGGAGCTAGTAGACTTGGGACAAGTTACAATGATGTCCTCATTCAGAATTCTCCTAATAGCAACCGATTACAAGCTGGTCTAACTAGCCAAAATTCAGTAAATACAGTGGTAAATAATGGAAATACTGGTAGAGGTTATCGMATTTTGAAGGTGTCCAAAGAGAAATTGGATGAACTGTTAGAAAATAGCCAAGACTCTAATCAAGAGTTTTCCCCTAATCAACARTTGCAAGATTCACKTAAAGGAGAACCTGTGACTCTAATACTATCAAATCCTTACTYGGATGAAGCCAAAAACGAGAGAAATAACCAACAATTACCTGCAARTACATTGCAGCTTGACAACCAACCTCTGGAATCAAATAATCAACGCATGTCTGCCAAAAACACACAAGCACTTCAGCCAGTTCTTGCCCAGACTGTACCAGGGAATTCCCAAAACAATATGGTAAATCAAGTACAACAGCAATTAAACCTGCAGTCACARCAAATGTTTAAYGATCAAAACACTAACTCGASCTTAACTCCTCAAGATAAAAACGCTCTTTTGCTGCCAAACCAATATTACCCAGGAGATGACGAGAAGATATTGATAGGKGATGGGGGGAAGACTGTAAGACCAGAGCCTGCGGCAATTGGGGCTTTTAAGAGCCAGCAAAGTGCAACAGATCTTAACGTTCTTCTAAAGATGCCAGGAAGTACAAGTCCTTCATTTTTGATACAAAGCAAAAACATGTCACCCCTCAGAATTTCTTCTAATTCTCCTAAAGGACAAGATCCTTCAGAAATTTCGGTCCTGAGTGGGACTGGACAAAAAATTGAGTGTCATACTTTACCTGGACARAGCTCGCTGACATTTTTGCGTTGTGGGTCAAAGGCACAGCAACAGGCCGCTGCCATTTCAGCTTTCCCTGCATCTCAAGCCATTACAAATCCACTTAATCTTAAGCAAAATGATGCTCCAGAACAACAATTTTCACAGTCTCAGTCWAGTGAAATGAATTTTCTACCAAGCTACATGCTGCCTACCGATTTTAARATGAACGATGACGTGTCTCACAGTAAGACCAACAATAACTCAAAGCTGTATGGATTTGGTACGGTCACTGACCCTTCAGTCTACAGAAAAGCYACAAAAGAGATCAGGACTTACCTCGATAAGGAGATGAATGAGGAGAAAAATATGATTCAAAATCTTCTCATCGACTCCACCTCACCTAAAGCTTCCTTACCGGCACAGGAAGAGGAATCAGAAGGACCGCTTGTTCCCTTTGGCTTTCAATATTATCCAGGAGTGGCGGAAAATGCCATGTACAATAGGGAAACAGAGAATCCAGGAATGTATCAATATACGGAGAACCTGAATACACAGCCGGAGGACAATGCACTTGTTGGTGGTATAAGAGGACATCCTCCTTACAAAGCGCCAAGAAGGGCGAGAAGACGACACAAGCTTCGTGTAACACAAGGGTCAGAGCGACGGCTTTAYACCAGATCTGGTCCTTGGACGCACAAAAAATCCAAAATGTCATCAAAGAAACGTCATCCTTCAATCCAAAGCTGGTTCGTTAGGAGAGTGTTCGGCCCAGTACAAATGATTTTACCGCCATTTTATCCACAGCCTTGCCCGTGGCTTCTGTCAAAGAGATGTTGCAGTTGTTGCACAAATGAAAAAAATGACAAAGAAATCACCAAGTTCAAAGACAAAGAAAAGGAAAAAGAGAAAGATAAAGAAAAAGAAAAGGTTAAAGATGCAAAGTATAAAGATGATCCCAAATCGTCGAATAAGCTTCCTGATACTACTCCGTCACCCGATAGCATGAGCGAATGGGAGTACCTGGGAAGAGTTATGTGTAGTTGTCCTTGTTGTATGGAATGCGTTGTTTGGTAGACAACCGAACTATTACATTTGCATYAAAGCAAACAAAGTCAAACTATCAATACGTTTTCATCTTGTGAAACAGAGAAAATGAAACGAAACTTTCCTACATATAAAAGTCCCAAAATTTCCRTAAGTTCTTAGACGAGAAAACAATATGGGAATGATATGTCTGGTCATATGWCAAGCCAGTAAACAAGTGCATGATAGTAAAATTTTGAATTAGACTCAAAATACSCCCAAAAAAATATTTCCAATTTTTATCAATTTTTGACAGCAAGACAACTCGATGCTGAARAACAGYTTTCGAAGAAGTACCTAYTATTTATCAGTCATTTTTAGGACCTSATTATATGAAACAGTGTTGCCAAGATCACCGGGTTGATTTCTCTTGTTTTGTKCTCTCTTGAGAAAGGAAATCAAACGAAGAAATCAGTCGTTGGGTCGGACAGCACACATCATATGTTTGGGGCATTAAATATTGAGTATATTGTTGTATATTGTTCTTTTTGCTGTATTTACAATAATAATAGAGATACAGATTAAAACTATGAATTCACGTGTTCAAAATAAAAATTGATTTTTATATTTTTCTGCTTAAATAGATAGATATAACCCTGGAAAATAAAAATTGTCAACAAAACTATTTCCTCGTCGTAATCAGTGAGTTAAGTTAGGGTGTTTTCATTCAAAAGAATGAAATAAACTCTATCAAAAGGTGAATCAAGTACAAAAAACAACAAACAAACAAACAAACAAACAACACGTACATTGCTGGCAATGCTAGACGAGGGACCTTAATTGAAGTCATAAAACTACATTGCTATGTTTTTAAGTTTAAGAAACTCTAATATATTTGATATTGGGATAGAACTTCACGATCTCACAAAATGTCTTTGCATGCGAAACAATCAAAAACCCAATGCAAATTTCCCAAAGTAAGTACTGAGCTCACTCAGTCTTTGGGTCTAGTTCTATGATAATGCCATATCTCATCTATACATGAAATGATTGTACTTCATATACAAACATTAGAAATATTAACGACACAAATTACTACCCACAGATGTTTTTAAGGGATGTTCTCGGCTCAATTCGATATTTGTATATTCAGCGCTAAGACGCGTTTCCATATTATCGCTCGCGATGGCTGGTAATATAGGTCAGAAGAACATCTTTAATATAAAGTGATATCGAAAAGTGACTCCATTGTATTAAACTGGCTGTCCTGCGGCAACGAAAAACACCCTAGTCCAACCATCAAAACGTCACAATATTAGATTTATTGAAATTCTTTTAACTTACCTACAATACAGATTTTACAGTATTCTATATGAAAACCTCTTATATCGATGTAATAAATGTAATAAGGCCTTAATTATATTACAACATCTGGTATATATAAGCTAAAGTACACATTATACTAGTTCTTATACTACACTATTTAGATAGAGCAGTCCAAATCTATATGAAACCGCATGGGACAGGTTACCGCTCTTTGCATTGCTACGCGGCCACCCCAGACAAAATTCGCGACGTGAACTTGGCTTTAGAGTGCCGTCAATCAAACATGTGACGTCATTTTCTCGAGAAGGCGCCAAAACTTGTCGTTTGTTTACACTATTATGGTTGCTTCTTATCAATCGTCCCTTCGATAGAGGGTGATTTATTTAACTCAAGATGGACTTAGTATCAAGGAAATAGCCAATGTTCTACATGTGAGCAAAACGTTTGTGAAAAAAATCAGAGAGATTTATCGTAGAACGCCAGGAATAGATAGTCTGAGACGAGGCCGTATAAAACCCTAAGTTCTTGACGGTAAAGTTACCGAAATTCCTTCGTATAAAGTAAAATGTTTAATAGTTGTAGACATTCAACAGTTGTTGTACTTTCAACTTCATAGCGGACGGCATTCTTCTCTATTATCGAAGATTACCCCGAGACATACGAAGATGAAATACAAGCCTGGATTGAGCATGTTACTGAGAAAATACTTCACGTATCAACAATTCATCGGTACTTGATAAAAATGGGCTATACCAGAAGAAAGCTACCGTTCATTTATATGGCTTCAAAAGTTTAGTCAATGGGTACTGTCTGTATTGCTTATACGAAGGAATTTCGCTAACTTACCGTCAAGAACTCGGAGTTTACGGCCTCGTCTCAGACTATCTATCCCTGGCGTTCTACGATAAATCTCTCTGATTTTTTTCACAAACGTTTTGCTCACATGTAGAACATTGGCTATTTCCTTGATACTTAGTCCATATTGAGTTAAATAAATCACCCTCTATCGAAGGGACGATTGATAAGAAGCAACCATAATAGTGTAAACAAACGACAAGTTTTGGCGCCTTCTCGAGGAAATGACGTCAACATGTTTGATTGACGGCAGTCTAAAGCCAAGTGCACGTCGCGAATATTGTCTGGGGTGGCCGCGTAGCAATGCAAAGAGCGGTAAGACTGTTTATACATCGCAGCATGATTCACATTACATCGGCGCCACTGATGATATTTTTTTTTGATGAACAGACTACATTTCTTAATTTGGTTTTATGTTTACCCGCATCGCGCTTCGAAAACGATGTATCGCTCAAAATGAATGACACTAGTGAAATGTGTTTTAGATTTTTCATATAATGATAAATGAGAGTACCTTCTTGGGCGTTCCAACAGAATGGCATGATCCTAATAACAAAGGCGGGATAACATAGGAACAACTTCGTCGTCCATTGAAAAATTCCGAGATAAACCAAATATGAATAGAAACTTAACATTCATTCCCATTACAAAAGATTCATTCTTAACATGCAATAATAGGTGTGACGACATGCATATGTTTGTAATGTAAACAATGTCAAAACAATCGGCATGTAACATAAAAATCCTATTCGTGCCAAATATTCTACATCGATTTTAACGTGGACTTTTACAATATCTCCATAGAGGATAACGCGAAAATTGAACATCGCGAGTTTTAAAAAATGGGACGTTTTCGTAGGAGTAGACTTTAAATTTTCTATCATTAGCAACTAATGCGTTTATCATGAATTAATACATTTCCTTTGAGATTTCTTTACTCTATAAAGTCATAGTAATGTAAAATGGAGGATGTTTACCCCTCGGTAATTGTTGAAATAAAAGCGATATTTCGATCCTGTCTGAATTATTCCGTTATTTACACTTGAAGGTACATATCAATATCCTTCAGTGACATATGGATTATTGGCCATACGGCGCTCATTATTTCTAGAGGTCAGTTTTTCTTCTTCGAAAATCTAAAATCTATCTCTACAAAAATCTATATATCTACAATCTAATAGTTATAGTATCAATATTTTTTATAGTTTATATATATAAAGCGCTTTTGTCTATTACAATATTTTTATCGACATTTAGTGATGATATAGTCAAAACATACATAAAAGGGTTAGAAACTAGGTTTACTATGATTTGATTTCGCAGCATTTACCTTTTAATTAATTAATATCTTGTCAATCGAAAAAAACACAAGTACACACAACAGAGTACAAGCAAAGTGTAATACTATAGTTTTGTACCATTTTATATCTATATCCACCAAACTATGGACTATTACAAATCCAGCATTTTGATTGGCTACTGTACTATGATATATTCGTGATAGTCGCGTTGAATAAAATAGTCGAACAAATGTCTAGAAAACTTTTCTTTAGTTTTTGTTTTAATTTGCCGGACACTAAAACAATTAGACTATTTGGTCTCGCGGCTTCACTCGATCTCTCATTGATAAATATAGTGCTTTTAGTAGAGGCAGGGGCGGATTTAGGATTTTTGAAAAGAGGGGGCCGGATGTGTSTTGTGTCCAATTGAGCGCCGAAGGCGCGAATTTCCTAGGGGGGTCCGGGGGCATGCCCCCCCGGAAAATTTTGAAATTGAGACCGTCAGAGATGCGATTTCCAGCATTTTGAGAGGCTATGATAATAATTTTTTGGACATTTTTTTTGTCTTATATTTTTATCCATTTTCTAATAACCCTTGATTTTTGGATTAAATTTTAGATAAATTTGAGGCAATTTTTTGTATTCCATTACAAAAGAATGTAACACTCTAGAGCCAGGGTTCGAAAGAAGGAATAATTAGCTAGGTAACCGCGCAAGCACGTGCGAACTCGTGCGTAGTCTCCTCGCCATTACTTTTATTTTTATCGTAACAAAAATAGTCTCCTCTGCCCAGAAACAGCAGCAAAGGAGAATTTAACAAAAATATTTTTTTTAATATTCTCAATCTGTAATTTGCAACAAGAATGCACCTCATTTTCGTTCTCTTCATTTTTTTTTTTCATCGGTAAAGGGAGGGCCGCGGCCCCCTCGGCCCCCCCCTAAATCTGCCCCTGAGAGGCCTGAAACCGCATAGTTATGAAACAGCTTTTGCCTTCTTCATTAAGTACGTATTATAGACCTGATAAATAGAAAGTCTCTCTCCATTAAATCACCAAGTCTTTCTAGTGGAACATGTGTATGTCTACATCATTCCGATTTCAACTGCCTCGCCATTCGAAACGCTATCGTCACGACAAGAACACAAATTCCAGATATAACTATTCGCTCAGGTTTAAAACTCATGAAATACGAAACAGCAACAGAGAAAGCACTCGTTGGATTGTTTCTTGATGATTGTTCCAAGTTCTCTATAAAATACTGTTCAGATACTCGTAGAGTTGTGTAAAGGACCCGTACTTCGCTCGCTCGTATTCCATTTTCTCGTACAGCGACCTCCATGGCGAATCGTTTTGCAAACTCAAGGCAATCGCTTTCCAGCAGACGATATCTAGAGGGAACAACTTGTAAAGCGAGCAATTGAAAATACAAATAACACATCGCCGATTCACCGACGAAAAAGCTGCGAGACTTCATCAGCCAGTTGAAGTAGTACATATTTCTGGTCAACATATATTTGGAGTTGGTTTCATCTAAACAAATGTGATATTGTTGAAGTGGAATGGAAGTTGCCATTCGTCTGTAAGTCTCTGAATCTTGCCTCATAAAAATGTTGCGACCATCTATAAGTTGTCCAAATATTGGTTCAAAAAGTAATGTCTTAAAGAGTTCTTTATCAACAACGACTATCGAAGCATGCATCTTGTAAATGTTGATCATAACGTATTTGTCCTTCTCGTGTGACATTGCATCTGTAGTCGACTGTAGATCGTACACACTCATTTTCTTGTCGTGAAGCTTCTTAGCGATGGCCACCATTTCATCTTCAAAGAGACTTTTGTCAATGATTTCACCGAAGTTGAAATTRCTGTCTTCTGATAACGACACCATTTTGAGAATTAATATGATTTATTCCCATTTCCTCGTCCCCAGTCCTTACCGTGGGCTCTATAATGTAACGGTTCTATGTTTTTTCTAAAAGCATTCTTATCCCCTAGTTTGACCTCAAATGACCCACTCCCCATATTCGTTGTAATAAAAATATCCAAGAACACAGAAAGAGGAGTTTTTATCAAGTGGCTTATCAAGTGGCTTCACAGGTAAAAAACTTATTACAGGGGCGGATCCAGAATTTTCCTCAGGGAGGGGTGCGGGGCACTCAGTAGGGGGTGCACCCCACAAAAAATCATTACCATGAAGATTCAAAATATGGAATGTATTGAAGGATACAGATCTCACACCCACCAGCTGGATCCGCCCCTGTATTATCAGAGGAAGATGAAGAATGCGGAATGGGTTAGTAAATCAAGGTATTATATATTCAATTTTGCAATCTCGTACCACGAACCTTCGTTTTTTCTTGGCAAGCACTGTCAGGGAACAACCGATTGAATCAATTGATTAATTTTGAATTTAACTAAAGTATTCCCCCAATTATTTTGAAATAGTAAATATTACTAAATCATTACGTGAATAATCTTAAAATCTTTGTATATTCGAAAGTTTTCACTAATACTTCATTATTTGCACAGGAGCGGATCCAGAAATCTTCCAGAGGGAGGAATGTAGTGATCCAAATATATTTTCAAAACACTAACAATATTTTTCCGAGCGTGAACTTTCAGGATTGAGATTGCCAATATTGTGACGTGTGTGTCAAAAATATAAACGCAATAAAAAATAATGTACGGTTTTATTTTGAATTTTTTGATTATCGTCTTTGAAGAAATTAGAAAGAGGAAAATTCTTCTAACATTACATATAAGAAATCTAGAGCATGCACCGGCCTTTAAAGGAGAAAAAATGGGGAGAAATTCTCCCTTCCCCCTCCCCTGAATCCGCCCCAGTTGCATTATCCTACTCTTCTTAAACAATGCGGGATAACTTAAGTACCTCACCATGACGTGAAATCAAACACCGCAAGCAATTCATTAAATTAACACCAAGTATAAGTTGTTTTATCATAAAATTAGATAGAAACGTCAACAGAAGCGGGTTGACTGGTTTAAGGACCAACGTTTATAACAATAGCGAAAGACAGGTAAGAGCAGTGCTAAACTGTCAGTACTATCAGACCATGGCGACCTTTCCTGGTGTCCCATTYAGAAAGCCTTTTATGGTGACATCACTTCTCCCACGTGACTTGAGCTCGACAAAGGAACAGCAACATGAAGGTAAGGTATTTRCTTTAATTTTCAAAACAAAATTCTATGATATCTTACGAAATGAAGTTTTCACTTGAGTCTACGCCTCATGATTTTTGCCAAACGAGCTAGTTTCTATACATTCCTTAATACTCCGTGAATAAAATTAAACTGAGAATCAAATGTTGCTATAAATATCTCTTTGTAAATCTGTGATATTTTAATTCCTTCTACTGTTGTCTTTTGATACATCGACTCAAGCTAGTCAATATCAGCCAGTTTGTCACAAGCTTTGAGTGCCAACGAGGATATCTCCAWTCTATCTAAACTAACCGGCAAGCGGGTCGACAATTCTATCGAAAGCTTCTATATTATGTCAATTCACAACCCTACCCAATTTATATAGAGTAAATCTGAGTTCTCGCACAAAAAAAAAACTGTCACGGTCCACGGACACTAATATATAATACTGACTATAAAGTTCAAGTATATTAAAAAACTCTGAGTAGAGGTATAGTTAGTAGCAGACATTATATATACTTGTCTCACGATAAACCCTAATATCCGGAAGACCAGGGTTTTTGATCCGGTTACGAGGTACAGTTGATATTTTYCCAAGCCCCGGTGCAAGTTAGCAACATTTCATTGCTATTTCTTCCATTAAACTTCTTCTTGACCTTCAGGTAAACCAATGAGGTTGTGCTTCCATTCATCGTCGTCCAATGTATCAGGATGATCGCGTACACGCTGATTGCTTTGCTGTGTCTTACTTGTCACTCTCAGTCATCTCGTGCTAAACGTGAGTATTATCTAATTAACAAATAGATCTCATTTTTYCGTGCGTGTGTACTCTAATAGATACACAGATGACGTCAAAATGTGGTGAGAACAAAAAAGTACGCACGAGACGCAGTTGAGTGCATGACTTTTGTTCTCACTACATTTTGACGTCATCTGTGTATCTATTAGAGTACACACACACGGAAAAATGAGATCTATCTGTTTTATACAACAAACAATTAGTTTTGACGTAATCCGTGTATCTGTACTTTGATAACACACGAAACTGAGCCAACCAATCAAAACGTCTGATTTTACTGAAAAGTTGTATAATGCCGTGTGTCATCCCTCCAGCAACTTTCTTCACGATTTCTGAGGCCATTGATCTACGATCGCAATTTATTCATGCCAGCTACCRTTTCAATGCGCAATTACCAGAGGAAATATTTGCAGAGGAAACTGCACGAAAAATTGCCAGATATCCAAATAATGTTTTAATGACGCTTTGCTTTAATTATTMAACAGACAATCGTCATAATGTKAACGTGAAAAAGAGTTTCCTCTCTGATGCAATGAACGAAATGGAGTATGGATCAGGACACAAACCTCAACGGCACAATAAATCTGCAATCAAAGATGGCATTGTCTCGATTACAMGAATCTACCCTTCACATTTAGTACAAACGGTTAAAGTTCACGAGAATGAGGATGAAAAAGGTAAAAATAAAAATGGAGATACCACCTCACTGGAACAAAATACCAAGAGCAATGATGGCGTCCAAAATGAGGGTGAGGATAAGAAGGAAGAGTATAAAAATACACAGGACGTGAACCCTGAGGTTTCCAGTGCCTCCGATACCAGCGATATCACTGAAGTAGTAACAAATGACAGCGAAAGTTCTCACTCGAAAGAAGACGTCACCACAGCAATCAGTCTGTTGAGGTCATTTGTAAAGAAACTTCTTAAACAAAACAACACAGAACAAGCCTCTTCGTCTACCAATAAAACTGCTAAACATGGCAATGAATTAAAGAGCGATGCGGAAGCTCATAGTAAGGCTGCTCCAAGAGGCAATCCCGTAAACCCTTCGACGATAGTATCAGGGGTTAAATACAATCTGGCTCCAGTTTATAAGTTCAAAGCRAAAGARGAAAAACAGGAGCGCCTTAAACATCTCATGGAAGAGGAAGAAACCCTTCGCCAAACACTACAAGMAAAGGAGCATGAGATAAAGAAACTGCAACAAGAACAAGATATCAATAATAACCAYCTAARCAAAAATAACAAAACAACTGATCAGGAAAAGCATMAAAATAATACTAGCAGAAATGATRCTRYGACTAAGTCTSTTTCAAAAGACGACACCGCAGGSTTGCAAGCTGCAAAAAACGAAACAAACGAAGCACAATTCAAGTTCTCGACGCTTAAAGGTATTCCACCAGAACTTTTGGTGAAGCTGAAGAGTATTCTTGATGCGAGGAAGAAGAAGAAMGAAAATGTTTCTACGMAGCAGACRTCTTCGAGGAAGGCTTTTGAAACCGCAAAGAAATTAGTCAAAGCCGCTTTTGCTCGCGAACAACTATACAAGGCTGAGGAAGATTTCTATGGTAAGGTAAAAGAAATGATGAATAAAACATCAGACACAAGCGCAAAAGAGAATGCAAATAGTTCTGAAGTGATTGAACAAGGCAGCGCAGATGGAGACTTCGCTCATGTTAACGAATACATCAAGACTCTTGAAGCAGAGCAAAAGAACTTAGATCCTGTTGAAAGAAGAACACAGCCAGCAGCAAACACATCAAGCTCTTCAACAGCACAAGACTCTACAGCAAAATCTCCATTAAACTCCAGTCCTCATACCAACGCTGCCGYAGGATTGCCTCTCAATACAGCAAGCTCCCAGAATATTCTAAACCAACTAAACCATACAAAAGGAGCTGATGAAAAAAGCGTAGAAGCGGCTGCTCACTTAGAAGAGAAGGTTGCCGAGCAACAAGATGAAATGTATGAAGACCTTATTCGTCATACTCTKAACAAAGGACGCGGTTATGAAGATGACGACGACGATGATGAYGACGAAGAAGCAGAAGCACGAGATGCATACAATCGACCTGCAGAAGACGGACCACGTTTGTCACAAGAAAATTATGGMGAYTTYCAAGACAGTGATGAGCGTACGCATTTGAGATCTGAAGTCATTAATTCGAGCCCACGTAAATCAAACAACTTACACTATATTGACGAAAATGCCATATATAGCCTCAAAAAGGATAAATAAGTCGACAATCGAGATCTAAAACAAAGCAATAACAAGTTAAAACAAGTTAAAGCGGCGCTTATCTGGAAGATTGCAGAAWATGATGACTTCAGAAGTGTTCTGCTTCAAAACTTGAAAGACATATGTAGCCTAGGTAGGAACAGATAAGGCTACTTAACTCATAGCAAATGGCATTGAAGCAAGTTCGTTATTACAATGTTAATGTTATAAGAARCATTAACTATATTTTCATCAATGCGCAAGAAAAAACTCCCAAATCCATTCTACGGTCTGTTCGTTTTCTTGGATAAATGATAAGGGTATTGTTTGAAATACTCATCCATCAAATCTAATCGAATACTAATCAAATCTAAGTAATTAATATTCAGYTGAAGATCATGGTTTGGTTGTTCAGTTTTTGTCAGTAGATGAGTGAATATCAGCCGTTAAAAAAATATATCATTGCCAACAGTAATTCTCGGGTCGAGCATTTGCCAATCATTCTTATGAGCTGGAAATTAAGCCAAAGCCAACATAACATTTTTTTCGAAGTATGAATTGTCTTGTCAGTGAAATGTTATAGTTGTGACGATTGAAATGTAAAACTGTTAACATGTTCATTAATACCCCGTGAGAGGAGGAGTCCTCTCTACCAAACTTTCGAGAGCCGGCGTGCAAGGTTTTTAAAAACAGTTTCCTTGCAGGATAGTTTGTAAGTTGAAAACATATAACTCMACCACCTTCCGCATACAATGATGTTAGTCCTGATTGTGACACATGATGGTCACTGTCCAACAAAGGGCAATACTGAGTGGGAGGGAGGGGAGAGTGGTTTTAAACATGATTTCACTGATTTCTCTGATTCAGTATCTAGCTGTGTCTTCGTTCTAAGCTTAGTGTTGCATGAATTCCTTTTTGATAAAATATGTTAGCATCTTTTGTTTCAAAGTTTTTTCACTACAAAATTGTGATATGAGAATTGCTCAGTAAAAATCAGATATCATATGTAAACCAATCTCAAATGACTTTATTTGTAATTATTCCAGTTGCTTCAATTCCTTTTGGAAAACAATGATATCGAAGATTGTACAAAAAATCACAGAAATTGTTGTCAAAGGAATAAACAGAGCACATTAAAAGTCAGCCGTCATGGCTATAACGTCTTCGTCATCTACCTCTTCGTCTTCTTCTTCCACGATTTCAAGTGAAACTTCCTTTTTGTCAGCTGCTTGTGCAAGAGATGCTAAACCTGGAGCTACCGACTTGACGAAAGCTTGAGACAAATTGACTGAAGGCTTCCTTAATTTGAAGTTTTCCTTCCAAGACTTTTTAGTAGTTTTAAGCTTAGGTTCAGACTTAGTTTTTCTGTCTGACAAAYGGCAGTATCCAGAATTGATAAAGGCGTGGTCATCAAACGCCGTCCTAAGTAAAAAGTWTAGCAGAAGGTTAAAAACGGAAAGTCTGYCAAACAAAGGAAGGCGGAGAATCACAAGCAGAAGAAAGCAATCAGGAAAACAAAAAGWTATTTAAATAGAACGTACAGTTGGACAATCATCGCGAAACAAAGTCATTAGACGTTTCATATCTGGTGTTAGCCAGTTTTGACGTTGAGGCTTGTTTTATGTGAGGTGGGGTCATGTGATCTGTTAGGTGCAAATCGTCTATTCAAGGATAATTAACTTACTTTTCTAAATCAGATGAATCGACAAGTTTCTGAGTTAGRTCTGGTTGTATACCAATACGAGCGAGCCTTTCTTTAGCAACTTCCTCCAGCATTTCTTTCATCTGTGGATACTCTGACAACACCTCATGGAAATTGCAAGAAGACAACGAGTACAAATCACAAATAGTGGCTGCGCGAACTGAGGCAACTCGACGAGCTTGTGTTGTAAGGAGACAAATTTCTAAAAAAAAAAAGAAAAGTATTAAAATCATTTCGGCGTTCAAATGTATTCAGCTATTTTTCAGTCTCGTCTAGTCAGAAGGCTAGATGCTTCCTACCTCCAAAATGAGAGCCGTCTCCTAGACTTGTTGCAAGTGTRTTATCTTTAGTCAAAATGTCAACTATTCCTTTTTGTATGAAAAACATTTTGTCTCCCTTTCGACCACGTTTRCAGATRTATTCGCCAGGCAGGTAMACTTCAAACTTCAAYTTGGTTACAACGTCTGATAAAAATGACATATTCGCCGAGCTAAAAAATGGAACTGTAGCGAGAAGTGTATGGACATTGTGAACCAGGATTTCCTGCGTGAAAAAAAAAAAAAACATCTTGTGAGATTATAACAAATGAAGAAATTTGGTAAGGTGTATAAGGAAATTTTATTGTCGCCATCAACTCAGCTTTGCCGATTCCGATGTCAGATGCTTAACTGTTTCATTTCTGTGCAATTTTCGCAGCAAAATATCTCGCAATATTTCTGTTTCGCGTGGCGTTGCACGAAGCCGTACTCCGCATTGCAACGCCACAACACATCTTTCATCCCAGCGTTTGAGGCATAAGGCATCTTGACAAGCATCCACTAGGAGTCAAATAATACATTCTCCACCAACCTGCCTTGCAACACCGTATGGAAACAAGGAGATAGCTCAAAAAGTCATAAGTTAACTGGTCTTAACTGGGCTTTAAATAATCATAAAGAAGAACTAATGGTACGGCATGTGATCAAGTATTTGACTTACCTCTCTGAGTGATTTAGAKAGTTCCCCAAGAATCAAGTCCTCGTTGAATAACTTATGACGAAAGCGGTGTTCATAATATTCTTGCACGCGATGTCTTATGGGTAAAGGAAGCTTTCTATATCGCATGTATTCTTCTACTTGATTGAGCTGAATAAAATTAAATAAAAAAGATATTAGGAATGTAGTTTATTAAGAAGAAGATAACTATTATATCAAAGTACTTTTGAGAAGGACCTTCACATGAAGAACGAAATATTTTTAGAAAACACAAAATAACATTTTTTCAAGCTCAAAGTGCCCATCATGCGAGTATGGGTGCAGGTAAGGTCCGAATACTGAATTAAGCTGCCATGTGAATGGGAGGAAACAATTGGATTAACCATACCTTTTCAGTGTAAAGTCGACCGGAGGAATCTATGGACATCACTAATCCTGACATAATTCCAATAAACACAGCATAAAATGTCGCTCCTATGGTCATACTAAGGATCGTTAGCCATAGCTCCGTGGTGTTTTGGGGTGGATATCTTCCATAGCCAATACAAAGCATATGGGACATGGCGTTAAATAGTGACCAGCTGTACTGCACCACCGGAGGCTGGTCCTAGATAAAATATAGAGAAGRAATACTTCAATCTGCAAATGTTTCTTAAGGGACAATTTACGGAAAGTGCAAAGCACGCACGCTACCCTTGTCAGACAAGACAAACATGCAACAAACTATTCGTTAACAGACCAAACTAGTAAACTAGAACAGTTCACAAGAGAACATACAAATATAACAAATCTGAACAAATTGAAACTTCATCCTCCGACCAACGCGTTTGATGCTTTATCGAAACAACATCCACCAGTGACAAAATAGAYAATCAAACGRTGAACTGATAGCCTCCTTTGCAGACGGCTTTATTGTACTRATWTTTGWAAATAAGAATAAATACTTACATCAAGACCATTGATGACCACCCAGCTGTTATRAGGAAAGCCTTGYAAATARGGAACCAGAAACTGAACACAACCGTTYCAATGAGATARGAGCATCATGCAACCAATCAGCTTAGCGATACGAAGCTGACCACCGGCTATGTTCARCAGCTTTATAACAAATTGATCGGCRATTATTAATAATYATGAACAAATCAATCGTCTTGCATATGAATATATATGTAAGGACCGCGTGGCACTGGAAATACATTATTCTATTTTATCTTACACGGGAGTTGACACCAAGAATCATGCAGATCGACTTACCTCTTCGAATCGTTTCATGTATCKCACCARTCTTGAAACTCTCAATAGTCGCAGTAAACTAAGAACTTTAGCGAGYTTAAGAATCCTTAACGCACGTGAGGCTTTAATAAGAGTCTGCTGGGTGGATGTCGACGAGGCTACAAAGTAGGCATAATCAAACGGTAGCGAGGACAAGAGGTCGATGATAAACCACCCTTTAAGATACTTCCTTCGTATTATATAAGCATCTAAAATAACCTCATCTTTATTATTCGGGTCGACCAAACCAGTTCGGAAATTAAGAAAGATGTCCACAATGAAGAACAAGTCTGACATTCCATTTATRACAAGCCAGTGAATAGAAAGATCATCACTAAGGAATGCGATGTTGACAGGAAGAAGTATGACATGCAGTGAAATAAATGCTACAAGGAGAATGTCCCAGTACCAGCGAAACGTGCTAAATGGATGGATCACCCCTGAGCCACCTTTGTTTTTCTGYCGTCGCTGTTCCAAAAGTACGGCAGCTTTATTTCCAAACAGTTTAAGTGCAAGCTTGTTTTCGGGATTGGCACTGAACAATTCACGGAGAAATCCTTTAGGTTGTTTTGAGGTGACGGAGGCTGCATTTTCGCCGGCCATAGTTGCAATGTCAAGTAGAGTGTTTGAGTTGTCTGGCTTGCTTTTGTCATTTGGCACACTTAGATCTATGAATAAACCGATGAGAATGAAATGGTAAATCCACATCGACGCGAACTCCTTTGATTAAAAGYAGATTGAATAAGTTACATGCTAAATTGATCAATTTAATTAACGCTTGTTTTCTGCGAACAACCAGCTCATGCGCGCGCATTTATTCATGGGTTCCAAGTGAAGTTCGAACCTTCATTCCATAGCGCGCGTGCAATTCTTCATTGGTAGTTAACTTACATCTTAAGATAAAATCAATTCGGAAGCTTACTTGGAACATTCCTTGCGTGTTTCTGTCGCTTGTGAAGTATTACTACAGGTTCTTCGATCACTTCTTCGTGAACGGGGCCATAAAAATCAGTTCTATCTGATTTGCAGTGACAAGGCAAGAATAACCCGCAATCTGGACACCTTGTATCGTTCAAGTTTGACATGATTGTATTAGTTGTTTGCCGTCAAAGACGGCGATAGGCCCACTGGTCGACCTTTCTGCTACATTGTTTTGCACGTCGTTTATGACATTTATGTGCCTGTGGAAGCTTGGGCCGGACTTTCATTACCTTTTCTGACGTCACTTTACATATGACGTCATACATAAAATGACGTCATTTACACATAAACTTAGATCAGAAAAGCCTCTATTGGAAGAACCATTTCTTCCAGGTAATCTTTTTTAACATACACTCGTCAATATTTGTATTTTGAAAAAAGAAWATACACAACACATGACAAGCTGTCAAAAGTTAATTTTTCTTTTTATTTATATTACACAACTCTCTCGCAACAGAAGAGTGCCAATTAAGCGAGTTCCCTATATCCTTTTTCCATATAACAGACTCAATAACCTTGAACAAGCTGGACAATAAAGCACGAATTTCCAATCAAAATRAAGTTATTTCATGGTCTGAACTGCCGAAACACATTTTGCCATGGTTTGAGAGGCACGGCTAACCGGGTCTGTCATATAAAAATCTTTRAGTTCAATCATATTTGTCTTGAGTGCTGCATTAGTAGATCTTTTGCTACCCTGAAAAAAAAAATACTGCTTTAGTAATTGCTATTTCTCGAGAAATTAAAAGAAGTAACTGGTGAATATAATCTGCACTGGTTGTAAGCCTTACGAGTTCATAAGCATAATCGACAAAACAATCGCACAAAAGGTGTGCCACGAGCTCCATAAACTCCGCTTAAGCGTGCTCACAAGCAGACTTGCAAACGACTGTGCTTATGGCTAMTTTAGTTTGTGTTGCTGTCTTTTACCAGGATGCGATAGAGAAAAACAGGATTAAATCTAAAATTTGCTTAATGGATTATGTTTTTATCGCTGTGTGAACTTGCGTATCRACGGTAACAGATCAATCAAATTGCTCGGTAGCAAATAAAGCCTGCTTAAATCAACCATTAAATTCATTGCTTCTGATATGGTACCTATATATGCATCTATATAGGGTAATAAACCGAAGACTAAAGCAAAGTCAAGACAAGCTTCAGACAACAAAAAATGAAGGTGCATGTCCAAAAGGGTTATTTATAATAAGTGCACAAACCTGTATCAGATGTTGCGCTAAGCTGAAGAAGTTGGCTTTCTCTACRTCACCATAACGAGTTAAGTTGGGCGATATTTCGGTTAATCTTCGTCTAACCTCTTCAAGGTTACTGTATGGTAACGTCTCGCCAGCAATCTGTGGACACAATTGATTACGATTATTGATATTGCAAGAGCACTACTTTATGTATGTATCACAAAGAGAAAAACAAACATCATCACCACCAACACCGAACAGCAGTAGCAACAACAACAACAACAACAAACCAAACCAAAAACGAGAACAGCAACAGCAGCAGCAGCAATAAAAACAACAACAGCAAGTGCAACAAAGACAAACAGGATTTGTMGACCGASAATATCAGTTCTAGAAGATTTTTCAGAAACCACTGAGCATGAAAAAAATTTCGGTTTTCCACTTTGTGTAGCTACCCTTTTGTTTCCCTGCTAGAAGAGACTTCCACAGTCGATCCCTCTAAAACAGGTAAAGTTAAATCATACAACTTTACCTCTGATAATGCTCTGATAATCTTCCAGTCATCTCGGGCATATGAAGGCGGTGTGACCGCTCGTCTGTTAAAGATAGACAAATGACATTAAATCTCGAAGAAGGAATAAAAGTAAATGACAAGACAAAGTGACTAACGATAAAAAAAAAAGATTTTCATTATAAAGAAAAGACACAGATGCAGCTTATAATATCTGGACCTTCGTACAATAGGTGAGAGCGCGCGCTTAGGAAACATAATATTTTGGCGGGAATTTTTGGGGTTCCTTTGTTGAGCGAGAAACAAACGTACCTGGTCTGTTGTGCACGTCCTTCAGTATTGACGTACGTGGCTGTTTTCTCAGTATATGCTGCTCCAGGGAGAATAACATCGGCTAAATGAGCACCACGGTCGCCATGATGGCCTATGATAAAATAGATTATTAGAACTATCAAACCTTAGTCAAAATCAACAGACACAGGAAAYCCAAAGCTAACGAAGAACATTCTTCAAGGGAATGACAACCACCAATACTAGCACAATGAACTTCGAGTAGCCAAGTTACCTTGATAAACAATGAAGCAGTCTTTAGGTAAATTCTCACGTTTCACCATCCCTTCATCCTAAACACGGACATAACAAGATAAATCATTAAAGTACATTAATAAATCATAAATTTGTCCGACGTCTATGCATAAATTCTAATGTGTGAYTGTGTGCATCTAAAGTATTAAATATTATGCAAAGGGAAAGTWACTTACGGCGCCAAGTAAGAAAAGTAACTTAGGTTGTTCTGTCATATTGTTGACTCCTGGCTTGTAACCAATGTCCAGAGCAGCTACTTGACTGGCAACCTTGAAACATAAAMAAATACACAAATTATTAGTCTACCACATCGAATCGCTTTTTCTGAAACGCCTTTTTGCAYTGCATTGTGGTYTAGATTCAGCACAAAMATCTTTTGTTTAAGCAGCCAAAAACTAATACATAACTGYGAGAAATGAGGGAACATACCCTGTGCATAATATTCAAGACTCTCCATTCACTATCTACATCTTTACGAGATTTAAGCTTCTCAGACATCTCTGTTACAAGGGCCAGAATAGAATCACCATCTGAGCCTTGGAGACACTGGTTGCCAAGAAGAATAGCAGGCCTTTTACTCTTGACAAGGACCTTGGAGAATGGGTGCTTCCCTGACATTATGTCAGCAAGAACTTGAGCAGTTTCACCAACATGCTGCAAGAAAAGATTTACTTAGAATAATGGGAGTTGAATGGACATAMGTTTGATGCCCAAGTTTGATTAGTCAAAGTATGTTTTAGCTTGAGAAAGAAACAAAACAAAACAAAACAAAAATAACAACGATAACAAAAGCAACAACAAAACACTCATTCACACAAAAAACAAACCAGTTTATGTACAAAATTTGCTGTTATGTTGTTCTTGATTTACATGTCTTTATGCTGTGGGGAATTCTAAATACATTAACTTACTTCATAATCATAAGTTAAGTCTACTTTGTCTCCAACAAGACCCACTTGTAATTCTCCATGTATCCAGCTGTAAATGCATATATTCCAGTTAAAATTATCAAAGTATTACTTAAATAAGCTGTCAACACATTGTGTTCTGCACTCACCCTTTGCGAATACGAGCATTAACAAGTGGAGCTTCAAATCGTGGATTAGAGCCAACAATCAAAACAACGTCAGCATCCTAGAATTAAATAACAACAACAAAAACATCAAAAAACAATATTGATTACACTGCCATTATTGAATATCACATTTTAGAGTTTGCAGAAGGAATATAGTAGTGTTAAAATAAATAAGGGAAATTTTAGAATTGGAAACTTTCCTCATTTTAATTTAAAAATGTGTAAAGTCAATTGTTATAAAAAGTTATGTAAATACTTTGAGAAGAGTTTATACTTATATTTACCTCAATTCCAGCAATGGTTGTATTCATGATGTAATTGGATCTAAGGTCAGTACTGAAAGGAACAATGCCACAGTGAAATCATAATGTCAAATACGAAAAGAAARTACATTGTTAAATGCAATGTACTTGATCAYAAATATTGCAGAAAYTGAAASACCATATTTTACCTTGASCCAGCAGTTGGGAATCCCTCTTCTGTATATAGRCCCTCGCTATTGAACTTGTTAAAAAGGTCTTTCAGGGAAACTAATGATTCTGCATCTGCCATTCCACCAACTACAGCAGCCATTTCTTCTCCCTTCAAAGAATTCATCTTCTGTGCTACATTCACTAGAGCATCTTCCCAGGAACACGGCGTGAGGTTACCAAGACCATCCTTCATCATTGGSGTGGTCAGTCTTTGCCGTTTTAGTCCATCGTATGCAAATCTATAGGAATTGCACGTACAAGTTGTGAGATTGGTGATCTACTTACACTGCAGATAATAATCCTTTACTGAGATTTTTACATTGCATTTTGGTCTAGATTTGGTACAAACATTTTTTGTTCATGCTGCCAAATATGGCATAGTTTGTATTCAAACTAGACCACAATGCTCCATGGTTTTGTATTTCAGAGCGCACCCATGTGCAGCTATCCTAAAAATGTCAAGTACTGTATATTGTGACATTGAATAGCACATTCCAAGACCAAAATGCATTGTTGATATCAGATGGCATGACAAAATGAAACTCCAAACTAAAATAATTGCTTCCCATTAAAGGCACAAAGATGACAGTCACAATAAGATAATACAAAGTCCAACAATGCATTTTGGGCTTGAAATACACTATCTAAGTTTTGTAGTTCAGCACTTTTTGAAATAGCTATTGGGTATGACTTTGTAAACATTTTGTAATAAATGCAATACCTTGTTTTATCAGATATCCATTCTTCATTAATTCCCTAAAGTACAATGTATGTTCAATATTTTATATCTTACAATACAATTTCAATTGTCATATCCACTCCTGATGAATAAGTTTCTAACCAAGAACTGTACTTTCTTCACAAGTAGRGTGTTTCAGTTGGGGTCCATCTAGCCTGCTAACAGGCGTTCCTGCTGGGGGGCCGAGAAGGAATGGGGAGGAGAGGAGCGGAAGGGAACGCCTGCAAGAGGCTACTGTTTGTTTGAAATACACCCCCTAATTAGCTATGCGAAAAGTGGATCAATCAAATTTCACATAACGGAAGTTAAACTTCCGATCAAACATGTCACACGTGTGTACTGGTCAAAAATATCATGCACAAAGTTTGCGATCCGAATGTTATGTAACTGTAATTTTCGAGTTGAATTTGGCGTCTCAGGATGAAAGAAAAGATCGATATCATCTGCAAACTTATTCAAGCACTCTCTACGACAAGGTTCTGTTGGCGTTGTTTTAGCGAAAATGTTTATTAGAGAACGACAAGAATTAGCAATCTGATAAAGCCTGTATCATTGTCGCAGGAAAATCAAAAACTTAGGAGCCCTATATCAATTTGTAAACAATGAACCMAATTCCTTAMATTACAGAGAATTTAAAGAAAGAAGAATTATCTTTAGCGTAAACATAGATGACTTGTCGAAGCAAGAATTCAGTAAGTCGTAAAGGTACTGATGCGATTCGAAGATGTCGTTGTTTAGAAGTTAGAAAGAAGCCCGGGAAGAAGTTGGCGAAGAAAATTACAAACGGAAAACTTCATCCACGGCTCCGGCCGATAACTTGGGCGAAGGGCCAWTCATTCTTGTCGAGACTTTTACGAGAGTTTTAAAGATCATAATCTTCCCTAGTCMCGTAAGAAGGACTGCTAACAGATCACCACCTAAAGTTAGTTGCTTCACGGCGTCTTTCAGTTGAGGTTTAAGTTCGCTGTCTAAGTCAGTCACGGGGTCACACAATCCTAGTTGGTATGCTCAGCCAATCAGCAACACCGTTCGCTCACGAACGTTGTATTTCAAACAAACAATAGCCTCTTGCAGGCGTTCCCTTCCGCTCCTCTCCTCCCCATTCYYTCTCGGCCCCCCAGCAGGAACGCCTGTTAGCAGGCTAGGGTCCATCCAGAATAATATTTGAAATCTTGACTTATACTTATACATGTACTTTGCAATAAATGGAATTGTAAAACACAAAGGTACATGTATGAATGATGCCGTTAAACTACCTCATTTAGCCTGGGCAGGATTCTCATAACTTCTCCACATCTGTGATTGACAACTATGTTGCTGCCAACAGCATCCAGAACATCTATTGAGTCTGTTTTTCTGTGCATCATAACAGAATTTGAATATATTATTACTGATGAAGTATTTTTACAAGATGAGCATGCTGCTCCCCTACCTTAATTCCCAGGGTCTTGCAACAAAAGCATAGGGTTTTGATGTGAGAGCACCGACAGGGCATAAATCTGAAAATAATATCACAAATATTGCTGATTATATTTATCTAAAATAAACATGTACTTTTTGTGTTGAGTTCCATTTGTATGCATCCACTGGATGAAATTAAGAATATAAAATACTTACAAACTGATAACATAGGGTTTAAGCAGGTAAATAATTACCATAAAATAAAATAAATAAAATAATAATAATAAATAATTACCTATGACATTTCCAGACAGCTCTGATTTGAACATCTTTTCAATGTAAGTTCCAACTTGCATATCACTACCACGTCCTGTTGTTCCAAGATCATCCACCCCAGCAATCTCACTGGCAAATCTACATATTGTACAAAGCAATGCATTACTATTCAAAAACATCACAAACTAAGTTGCCTGGTGAATTGAAATGTCATGGTACATTAGGATCTAAGAGCATAATACAAGCTAAGACTAAATTGATGCAGAGTATGGCAATAAAAATTAATATATTAATATTAATATTATTAATTAATATATTTATATATTCTGATTTAATCGTATGAGGAAGTGGCTGATCCCATTAAAGAGTGCTCAATACACATAAAGTGTAGAGCTAGTTATATATATATTCTATACATATATTCTGATTTATTTATTTTAGAACCTAGGGTTTCCCTTTGATACTGTGCAAAGGGCAAAAGGTGTATAAACATGCTATTTGGCTTTTTTAATTTTATTTTAGCACTCAAATTATCATTGACATTATAGTATAATTTATGTTTTTAGACGTGACATTGTTTTCTTTTTTTCAATTGACTTACATGTATACCATGTGCTAGAAGGGAAAGTTTGTGAATGCAAAATCAGGATGCAGTTAACTATTGAGTATTAAAGATATCCTGTTACAAGTCCTGATATAAGTTATATAATTATTGGTCTTYGATATCATTTTATCAACACACCTAATGCATCTTGTACAGTGAATACATCTTGTCATAATTGTCTTGATTAGAGGCCCCACATTCTTGTCTTCAACTGCCCTGTAAAAAATCAACAAACTCTGTTAACCAAATGACTGTTGAGAGCTTAGTCAGCATCAAGAATTACCTCTTTCCAGAGAAATCATTATCAACAAAGCGGCTTCTGTCACTACCAAAAGCCATTGACTGATCCTGAAGATCACATTCCCCTCCTTGGTCACAGATTGGACAGTCTAGGGGATGATTCATGAGGAGGAACTCCATTACACCCTCTCTGTTTAATAGA